ACAATGCTTTAGATATCTCATATCTAGAGGTTCGACCATTCTCATCAAAATATTCTTTTAAGTGCAAGATGATCGACCTAGCATCTTCCATAGTTTCATACTTCTTTTGCAATTCATTGTTCATTGAAGCAAGCATGTATGACCTAACTTTTAGGTCATCATCACGCCACTTATCATAAGTAACGCGCTCCTCTTGGGTCCCACCTCAGGAAAGGAGTTTGGCATCTTTTGATCAAGCACATATCCGATTTTCTCCGAATTGAGAACAATTCTCAAATTCCTCACCCAGTCAGTGAAATTGGGTCCAGTCAAACAATTCTTATCAAGTATAGAAGCGAGTGGGTTTGTGATCACCATTTTCAGAGTAATAATATATCTGTGCAGAAAATAAATTGTTAGCCGTTGTCTTTCAAAATAACCATTTCATTTTGGCCTTTAAATGAAATAGTGCCTCCCACTAAATTTTTCGAATCCCATACTCCTTAAAATGGGAAAACGGTAATCTTTGTTGGGTAAAGATTACTAGTGGGGATTGGAGTCCCACTAGCCCATAGCCTGCCTCACCTGACAGTTATTGGTGTTCTATAAACTTAGTGAGTGAACCAACTTGTTCAACGCATCATATGCGAGTCCCAATCATAACTTCGACCTCTAGACCATGAAAGTCTCACCTGACAGTTATTGACATCATGATCATAGTTAAGTCTAACCCATCATCTCATGCAAGTATTGAAAACACAAACGATCCCCTCACCTGACAGTTATTGGAAATCGTTCGGCTCCAACCCCACAACATCATATGCATAATGGAGTGATCCAATATTATAAATGGCAATTGACCCCTGTGTATCCATAGCCGGTCAATCAACTACTATAATGTTGGACCAAACCATGACGATGGAAAGCCACGAGTCCGAAACCCGTTTAAACTTAATATAATTAATAAGGAGGTTTGGGTCATTATTAATGGTCTCACTTTGCACATTAACAGGTTTAACATGCATAACAACTGAATAAATAAATAGATATCAAATGCATAAAAATCTATCCTATGTGGTGATCATGGAATTATGGCTCAATGGGTCTCGAGCCAATGAGTCCCATTTAGCCATTTTAATGTTTTAATAATAGAGACCCACTCTTCACTTCTTCTTGGATCCTTGAACTCTTCACGGACCGGGCCCATAGAGCTCTCCGGCTTAAAGGCTCCTCCTCGTGTAATGTTTACATCAACAATTGATAATACTAAACTATACTAAAAAATACATTACATGAAAATAAAAAGAAGGACGCAGCCTCCATTTAATAATTACAACCCAAAAAATACCTGTAATCATCATACATTCATCCATACATCAATCATATTGATTAGGGGTTTTTCCATGATCACCACCCTTCCTCGCGAGTCATAAATTCTAAATTTAAAGCTTTGGAAGGCACAAATAAAATTCTGCACTGAATCAAATTCATGGCCGAGCAACGTAAGCCACGTCAAGAATCAAAGCCGGTGAAACAAATTTCACGTGCGTGATTCCAAGTGACGGTAGCGTTGTCGCCTCTAGATTCATAGTTGTGAATCATTTTGCAGAAGACAAAAGCAAAAGAAAACAAGCTACGGATTTTTGATTCAAAATTGATTTAGTTCCAATTTTTGCTCAGTTGATCAAATTTATCATATAAATTAATCAACTTCTATAGGCCACTTAAGAGTAAGCAATTCTCTCAACAAAGTAAATTGGTCATTGGATCGCAAAAATATATATGAACCAAAATCAATTAAATGCACGAGAATGCCTAAGGATTAGCTTTGATACCACTGTTGGTTTTCTACGGAACATGCATAGTTAAATTAAAAATAAACGCAGCGGAAAGATATAACTATACATGTATCTCCAAAGGCGTTATTCATGCGTTTCAATCAAAAATCGGAAAAACCATAGGGGGTTAAACAAATTACCTTTCCTAGCGTGCCCAAAACGATTTCGATTCGGATGTTCTTCAGTTCAAACCCCACAAGCGTCGGACCTCTAGTTCAGACACATCACCAATCACATGACGAACGGAAGGAAGCACTTGCGGGTAATCACCAATATAATTGTGCTAGCAATCTTATGGCGACAATTCTCCGCACTCTCGATATTTCAGTCACGGCGTCAGAAGAGAGAAAACGTATTTTCTTAACTCTCACGAACACATGATAATTGCATACCCACTTTTTCATCGCTTTTAATATAGCGATCAGCAACGGTTGCTGATCGTGCATGTGCACACGATCAGCAACCGTTGCTGATCGTGCATGTATGCACATGTGCACATGATCAGCAACGATTGCTGATCATGTGTGACATGCACACGGTCAGCAACCGTTTGTTGACCATGTGCCCCTCTTTTTTTTTTTAATAAAATTAAAACGCACACGGACAGCAACTATTGCTGTCCGTGTGCACTTTTAAATTTATATATATAAATATAAATATATATACAAACATAGAAGTGCATGATCAGCATATGTGTATTTTTGTGAGCATCATATGCACACACGCCCATGACAAAAATTGAATTAAATTAAATCCCGTTTAATTTAATTTCAGTCCAACTCAATTCGATTGCAAACATATTTGCAATATCGTCTCTTCTGTACAACGTCATCCTAAATTGGTTATGGTGTGTGACATCCCTAAGTTCATCACCAAGCTGGTAGTAAGACTTGCACTAATACATTAGTACTCTCAAGAGAATTGATTGTCCCGATCAATCTCTAGGTCTTACAAGCCATGATTGACATCTAGCAATATATCATGGCTACCCAGACAGTGTGAATGCTTTAAGAACATAATGAACCTGTCAACTTTGGCTACAGTGTAATTCAATCCCTCTGTCTTACGATGTCCCGATCGAACAAAGACCATGGAATATTTGTCAAGCCACCAATTCGTTCATATGCACAAATCTAATTGACATTCATTTTATATGAGACATGAAGAGTTCATTCTCGGTTACAACCCCGGCCGAGGATTTTAATGCAGTGTCAAAATTAGATTGCATAGGACATCATTATTGTACCTTGCGTACAACAAGGAGACAGATTCCATTTTGCACACACGTGTAACTTCGTATGTGAACGAACTATGGCCATCAAGTACAAAGACGAATCAATGAACCGGCGATATGCGCACCTGTGAACCATAGCCATCCAACACACAAGTCAATACTGTGCCTCAGGTCTAAGGATTATTTACACAAGACCAAAGCATGAACGATTAGGCATTGACCACGCTAAAAGCTTCCATGTTGCTAATCGTTATATATGTGTCACGTTCAGTGAACTTGTCTGGTACAGACACCTGTGTTCTAACTCAGGCATCACAATATCCAATGACTCATGACTCGTCATTCTCTTAAGTATCTAATACTTAATGGTGAAGCTAACAACACACCAGTCTCAACAGGATCATTAATATCTACTCAATGATCCATCGATTGGGAACAATTTAAAGATTCAGTCTAACTATGAATCTGTCGCACATATTCTTAACGTCTTAAGAATAGGTCCAGTCACAACTGATTTTATGGAATCATTCATATATTTAAATAATTGAACAAATGAATGAATACGTCATTGCCATTAAATAAATAATGAAATTGAAAATACAACTTAAATCCCTAACTTGTAACTATTACATGATGACTTTAGGGCATACATCTAACACTTTCCAAGTGAAAACTAGCATTGGGAAGGCTGAAAGCCCAAGGCAGGCCCAACATTTTCAAAATGCTGAAACCCTCAATTAATGAAAGGGAAAATTTAAAATAAGGACCCAAAGTGTAGCTCTTTTATCAAATAAGGACCCGATGTTGATATTATGTCAAATAAGGACTCGGAGTGGCTATATCAATCTCAAATAGGGACCTCAGCTCGCCAGCCGGCCAAATATTCATCGGCTAGCGAGCATGTGACATTTCCGACGACAGGAGTAGGGACATTTTTGTCAAAAAATAAACAAATAAAAATTACAATTCCTAAAAAATTTTAAAAAAACCCAAAATTAATTGTTTGTTCTTCTTTCATAACTTCTTCGTTTTCATAGCCTTTGAGCGCAAGCTTTGCAGCCTCAAATCCCCTGCCGCCCAGCAATTTTGACAGCCCTCTTTCTGCCTTCGTCGCCACACTATCGAAGCGACACTTCCTTAGAAGCCCCGCGCCTTCTCATCCTCATCCCGTTCACTTCCTCAGAAGCCCCGTGCCTTCACTGTCGAGCGCAGTGGAATAAGTGTAAGCCGATTCCTTCGCTTTGAATTTATTTGATGATTGTTTCTCAAGAATTTATGGTGTGGTCTTGTCGCCGAGGAGACCTGAGCGCGACTTATTACGCCGTTGTTTCACTCCTCAATCAAATGCATGTGACGTGTTTGATGAAATGCCTCAAAAGTACGACTGAAAAATTATCCATGAAATTTTCAGATTCGAAAACATGTAAGCATAGATTCTTTGTTTTCAATTGATTTGTTAAGATTTTAGATCCGATTCCAGTCATATTTTGTTGTATTTAAATATGCATGTCAATTTTTTCTGGTGTTTTCGTTCGATGTTTTGCATATGTTTTTGTGCAGTCTCCGTGTAATTCACCGGTGAGGAAATGGCTGAGGTCAATGTCATGCTTATGAATTCTCCGGGAACGTTCATGATTGCTTCCTTGTGATGGTTTCTTCTTGCATCTTTATCTCAAGATTATGTCAATAAGTCATGGTTGTAGGTTAATGTTCAAAGAATGGTAGTGGCCGGAGATGAGAGCTGATAGCCATGTTCTGGTGGTTGTTGATTGGCGTTCGTGCAAAATTCTTGGAGGCTCAACTCAGATATGCAATTTCTTCTCTAAAACCAACACCTGCTTGGGAGTTATTCGACTATTACGAACTCTGCAACTTGATTGAATTTTGCGAATCTCGTTGATTTATTATGAATAGTTTCTTTATAATCGGTAGCCAACTGCAATAATTTCTCTTTTCAAAGCCAATGTTTTCCCTAATCTTTTCAGTGACCTTATTTGGGTAATTTTACGGTTCAGTTCGATTCCACTTCTTCGAAGCGTTCATCTCAAAATTCTTGGAGGTTCAACTCAGGTATGCAATTTCTTCTACGAAATTTTCGACTACTCAGGACCTTTAGGAGTTATATGAAGTAGTCAATTTATTAGACGGTAGTCCTTTATTATAAATAAATATGTGGTTTATCTTATTGTGCGCAGATATTGAGGTTATCCCTGAACCTGTACTCGTGAACATTGTTGAGGTTTTCTTTTCGGTGAAATATGGAAAGAAGTTAATAAGTTCTCCATTTGACATAACGTTTAATGTCAACTTACCAGAAGCTAAGGATAGACTATTTTCATTTGTTGGCATAATAAATCAATGAAATATGGAAGGACGTTAGTATCTTTTATGCCATTACAAATGCATCATTATAGGTTTCTTTTAGGTACTCATGACTGAAGCTTAATAGATATGCAGATCAGATAAAATGTTTACTGGACTGGACACTTTACGAGCAACCCTAACCTCAAAGACTTTGTGACGATGCTGAGTGGTTACTACTTTGTGACATCCATTGACACATCTCTCGATTTCAATTGTCAATAAAAGATTGCTTAAGCTCATGAGACAGCACGTTGCCGATGACTAGACCAAGTGACTCTCTACAGGCCTCACTGGTTGCCAGGTTGATTAGCAAAAGATCTTGTCCATCTCTCCGCTACCACTGAGCCAAGGAGCGATGAGAACTCTCGCCGAATCATCTCTGGGCTATTTCAAAGAACAAGATCTATTGAAGCTAACCTTTAACAAAGCAGAAAAAGAGAGAAGCATAGGGTGTTTTGATAATATTTTGGGTGATTTGTACTACCTTTAGGGACATGGGAGGACTGTTATTGGTTGAGGGCTGTGATTGGTTGTATGCGTCTTTTGAGCTTTGTATTTGCATGTGTGGTCATGGGAGGTTTAATTGTTTTGTAAGGTCACTTGGTGTCTTCTCTTTCTTGTAGTGTTGTGCGTGCTGTGTGCACATAGTATAGTCGTAAACTCTTCCATTTTCCCTGATTGTAATGCAAATATTAAAGTTGAATGAATTCATAATGGTGAGTTGATGATGGTTGCTTGATGATGTTGTGTGTTGATATTAATGATGATGACGATGGTGGATCTATTGCCAACAAAGTGAGCATTCTGCTAGAGAATATTATTGGCATGAATGTGCAGTCAAATATTTACTGCATTATTACAGGAGCTTTTATTTTGAAATCACAATGTAAAAACAAATTTTGATGGAAAATAAGGCCTCTATGCATCAAAGCAATAAGAAACTCATTCACATTGTTTGATGGAAAAGAGAAACATCCAAACACGAGAGATCTTCCTAACGAAGCAGACCTACACATATTTTTACTTTAAGAATAAAAAATGGTGTGTCAGAAGTGGAATGCTATACATAGGTTCAATTTTTGTTGCACATCTGGATGTCAAAATATTAGTTCCTAGTTATTTTGAAATGCCATGACCTCCAATGAAATCAATTCACCCAAAATTCACAAAGCTTAGAGAGAGAGAGAGAGAGAGAGAGAGAGAGAGAGAGAGAGAGAGAGAGAGAGAGAGAGAGAGAGAGAGAGAGAGAGAGAGAGAGAGAGAGAGAGAGAGAGAGAGAGAGAGAGAGAGAGAGAGAGAGAGTGTGTGTGTGTGTGTGTGTCACTTGTATATTACTTGGTGAGTGTTTCGATGGGCATTCATGGCAAAACAAAGCAAGCTTTCTTACCAAAAAGCTAATACATACTCAAGCACTTAAAAGACTGACACCAGGGGTTCCCACAAACACTTTAGTAGGAACTTCACTTGTAATTTGCTTTTCCTTTTCAAGTCCCCATTAAAGTGTTTGGGAGAACTCTAGGTCGAAAGAAATTGAACCAGCTCCAAAACTTCTATTTCCGTTTGTGTGCTTGGTCTGATGGGCTAAGCAATCATCTTCCTAATATTTAGTTGCTACTTTAGAAGCTTTAACAATAATCACCAGCAACCACAAAAAAATTCCGTGAGTGCACATCTAGCTTGAACGTAGCCTCAGCCAACCACAAAATTTCTTGTCTTTCATCACTTTCATATCAAGATCCTTACATCCTCCTCTTTACCTCCAATTGGATCAAAAAATAAATCAATTAGTCAAGAGAAAGTAAAGTCAAATAAGAACACTAGGACAAAGTTAAGGGCAAATGGATACCTGCATCTTCGTCGTTCCCATAGATGACAACGAGGTTGAGAAGTTACCAAAAATTGAAGTAACCAGTTCAGCTGTTTCAGCTTGTGATTCTAATGGGGCCGATGGAGTGCTTTCCACAGTATCCTGTGAACATGAGGCTAATGTATGGGCTGAAGATGCTGATGCTATTGCCGCCGTTGATGCCGCCACTGATGCTATTGATGGATTAATGCAATGATACATGTTATGGCCTAATCGGCCACATTTCCCACAAGTGATTATAGTATTATGTCTTTTCAACTTTGTTCCCACAGGCTCTTGCACAACTTTCTTCTTTCTTGTCTTCAAATTTTTATGAGTTGTTTCATTCATTAACTTTGTTCTTTGTTTCTTCTTTCTACGAACTTGCTTGGGCACATCTGGTGGGAGTAATGGCTCTCTAGTAGGCCACGTGTCCTTAGAATCTACAACATGCACAACATAGCTATAAGTTTGCATGAATGTTTCTTTAGTAAAACTTGCGTGAACCCATTTTTCGGGCTTTTCCCTCATGTATATAAGAGCCACCACAGCATGACAGCAAGGGATTCCGCTGATGTCCCATCTTCTACAGCTATAAGATCTATGTCTAATATCAACAATTCTCTTGTCTCCATATGGCCCACTCAGTTCAAATTCATCCTTCACATTCCAGGTAGGAATCCATGATGTTGAGAACTATTTTTGAAGATATAATATCTTCTGATATTACAACATATTACACCAGTGTACTTAGCCATCCCATCCCTTCGCTTATGAATTCTCTCCATGAGCTACACTCTTATAGCTTCAAGCATTGTGATGATAGGCTTGTCCCTGACATCAATAATGCTTTTGTTGAAGCTTTCACACCAATTGTTCAAAGAAATGTCATATTTTGAGCTTGTCCTGAAGTAGGACTTGCTCCATTGCACTGGAGGCCTCTGGGACAACCAATCATAAGCTTTGGCGTCAACTGCCTTCAACTCTTCCATTGCCAAGTCAAAATCACATACCCTAGTTGCCATTGGAAGCCTTCCAAATAAGCTTTTTAAGTTCTACTCCTTTGTGATGCAGTTTGAAGTTTTCATAAAGATGCCTTAAGCAAAATCTATGTTCTGCTTTAGGCATTAAATTTTCTAGTGCTTGCACCAATCCCTTCTATTTGTCACACAAGAAAGTCCAGTACTTTGAGTTTTCAGGGTTCGTAATCCCCAAGTCTTCTGCAATCAAACTAATAAACCAGTGCCATGTCTTGTAGGTTTCTTGTCCAACGACTAGCCATGCAAAGGGATACATTTGATTGTTGCCATCTACGCCCACCGCTGCTAGAAGTATACCCTTGTAGCCTGATGACAAATGGCAACCATCAAACCCCACAAAATGCCTACATCCTTCTAGAAAGCCCCTCCTTAATGCATCTAGACAAATGTAAACTTCTCTAAACTTGAATTGATCTTGACATTGCTCAGTCTTGATTATACATGTAGATCCTAGATTGGCATCCAGAAGTGCTTGACAATAGCTCCTAAGCATCCCAAATTGCTCCTCCTCATTTCCTGTGATCATACTCATTGCCGTTGCCTTAGCTTTGTAAACCATTGTGCTTGACAACTTCAAAATATTCTCAGACTCCATTGTTTTTTTTATTGAAACACCCGGCTATGTAGGCTTGTTTCTCAACCTATCACGGTACTTGTTTGCTAGTCATTTAGTGCTTATTTGAGAAACATGTAGAGCCCTATTACATGTATGTATGGGATTGAAGGTTGTGACTCGTAAAGTATGCTTCATTTGAACTTTGGAAGCATATATAAGCCAATCATAACCCTCAGAACACACCGCCCTCAACTTCTTAGGTGTATTCTTGACAAACCTCACCTTTCTCCCATTTTTAAGGCATGGTTCGTGACGGCCTCTCTAAACTCTTCAGCATTACTAAAGCACATCTCCAACTTGAAGATAGGATTTTCCATATCAACCTCTACATTGATTTCAGGATGTGTATACTCATTTTCGCTATTCATATTCAAGAAGTCTGTATTATCATCTATAACATCTACATGCAAACTAATGTCGCCAATCTCCCCATCCCTCTCTATTGAACCATCACCGTCAGCACACCTTACATTTCTTATGTATAACTCATCGAGATCAGTAAAGGCAAACCCATCTTCTTCATCCCCCTCAGCAACCTTATCACAGTTCACTTCTTCACATCCATCAAGTGGTGCAAAAAGGAGGCAAAAATAACGTCAATATATTTCCATGCAAAAAACAAAACAAAAACAATAAAAAAATGCAATAAATCTGTACCACACTATGATTAATGAAAGAAAACTAGTTCCACTAATGACTACGTAACACACTTTTATTGGATACCGTTTCTCACAAAATATTGTGCATTATAGACTAAACAAAAATGTGCTAGTTGTTTGGCAATATTTATTCGGATTCGTGTGCGCACAAAAGTGCCACTGCTATAGTGACGGACCTTATCCTTGGCTTGGTCAATGACCACCTCCGGTGCAAGAGTATCATAAAAAAACCAACACTTCTTATTGATATAGTGAGTGATTTTGGTCAATGTACTATAGCTCAAAAACCATCAAAAGGAAAGCATTTAAAAAATATACACCAAGAAAAAACATAGTGAGTGATTTTTGGCCGTTAACGACAAAATATACACCAAGAAAAAACAAAAGGAGAGCATTAAAAAATTGCAAAACGGGGACCAACCCCATCGTCACGTAAGACCACAACAACAGTATATCCAGTTAGAAAAATGCACAGTGGACGTAACTCATAGGAGACATTCGCTTAGAAATTCGACATAACAAGCAAAAACAACACTATAAAACAAAAAATATTTCTCTTACCATCCTACCATCACTTTCCTCCCTGCCACCCATGTGATATTTAACCACATGCCCACACCTTGCCGACATGTTGCCTTAACAAGCTGCAATCCCTCTTTTCTTGGACAAACGAAGAATCGTTTACATCAATTTGAACAAAACTCAATTGAACATGAGTGTCGTCATCTTTGGAAAATAACAAAGACAAAAAAGAAAGGAATATTTGGGTGCTCCACCAACGAAGACGTGAAGAAATGAAGAAAGAAGCTCGGGGTTTCTTGTTCTACTTGCAAATCGTGCTCCACCAATGAACAATTTGGGTGCTTGAAGGAGTAGGGAAGAAGAACGGGAGGAGCATTTGCTCTAATTTGGGGTTTTTTTGTTTTAGGGTTTCTTAGTTTATACCCAATTTTTTTGACAAAAATGTCCCTACTTCGGTTGCCGGAAATGTCACATGCTCGCCAGTAGGTGAATATTTGGTTGGCCGGCGAGCTGAGGTCCTTATTTGAGATTGATATAGCCACTTCGAGTCCTTATTTGACAAAATGTTCACTTCGGATCCTTATTTGAGAAAAGAGCTCCACTTTGGGTCCTTATTTAAAATTTTCCCTTAATGAAATATAGCCAGTTTCCTTTTTTGCCCTTAAAAGCTTATTAAAAGTCCAATTTTTCCATTTTTAAAAAACAAAACCTACTTCCCAAGTCATTACACACCTCCGCTCTTGCTCCTTGCTCTCTCCCTCGCTCGACTACTCTGTTCCTTCGCTTGCTCCCTTCCTTCCCTAGCTCAACTGCTCCGTTCTCTGCAGGTTCAATCTCTCTCTCTCTCTCTCTCTCTCTCTCTCTCTCTCTCTCTCTCTCTCTCTCTCTCTCTCTCTCTCTCTCTCTCTCTCTCTCTCTCTCTCTCTCTCTCTCTCTCTCTCTCTCTCTCTCTCTCTCTCTCTCCGTGAATCTCTTTGGTCTCTTGCTGTTCAAGTACGTTGATTGTGCAAGTGGTTAGTGAGCTTAGGCTTCTTTCAGTTATAATTACATTCCAGA